GAGAAAAACATATCGATGGTAAAAGTAATTACGCGAAGTCGACCTAGCGCCTGCCGACTCTTCCAACGCTCAAGTAGTAAGGAAATGCATTGAACAAACCATACCGAGTCGATTCCCTTTATAGTAGCATAGCAAAACGTCAACAGAGATTCTCGAGAGATTGCAGCGATTGTACAGAGAGTGTCTGAGAGGCCACGGGAGATTCTCTCTTCTCTCGAGTCAACGCTCGCAGTAGACTACGTGGCCGTTCCTACAACTTTGCAACAGTAAGAATAATTGCGCTAGATCACGCGTGCGTGTGACCACGACGAGGTAGCTGTGCCTACGAGCGGAAGGAGGGTGGGAGAGAGTTGCGACTGTGATTGCCTACGTGTGTAATAAAACCGGTTGCTACCATCGAGCGAAGGAGGGAACGATAGAAAGACAAAGACACAGGTGAAGAATTACGAAGCGAGGAAAGGCAGTCGAGGGAGAAGGACAAAGGAGATCACGGATGAGGGAGAAGGGAAGGGAAATGCAATTAACATTTTATCTTTAACCCCACGAGGCAAGTAAGTGTTTACGATTTAACGTGTAACGCATTTTAAAATTAAAGCATTTAATTTACTCTCGTGTAATCACTTGTGTGTGTACAACATTGAACATTGTACATGAATCAAAAATGACATTCGAATTGAAATGTCACGCAAAAGTGTCGCGACATTTGAGTCATGACTATTTATGATGTTTCTGACAACGGACCCCCTGGTTGATCGTACCCATTCTGTAACAGATCGTACCACATTCTGTCCTTCTACGTACGTGACGTCTACACAACATATTAAAACGTGTTATGTGAGTTAGTCTCAAACACTTACATCACCCTAGGCCTAGCTGACTTACATACACCTGCAGGTTGTAAAAATAATGCATATTATTACAATGAATTCTTACATGAAATTGACTGAAATGCATAAATTTCCATTTTCTGCAGAGGGCGCATGCGAGCTCCCGGGTGAAAACATTAGTTATGACATTGTTATGAGAAGTACAAGTATCGCTCGCATATCCCCTGTGGAGCACATCCCTGTGGAGCATATCCCCAGGGGAGCACACTTGCTCTACTTATCATGCGTATAACTACAGCAGTGGCTGCGCCTTGGTCACCACTGCTCATACAACTGTCAATACAAGGTGCGTGAAATCGAAAAAATCCCACAGTAACACATGTTGCCGATAAATGGAGAGGAAAACACGGACTAGTCGTGCGAAAATATGGGTACCTTCTGCACGTGTCCTCCTCTCCTCATAGTCGGTGTGGAAAACAAAAACAAAAACAAAACAAAAAAAACTATTCACTTCTTGCAGACGCGACAGCACATCACGCTGCTATCGTCGTCGTCGTCGTCATCACTCGTAACACGCACGGTGTAACAACCACGCCGACGAGCAAACTGGCAAATGGTGATGGCTCTCGTCTGTCTGGGTAAGCAAGCAGTCTCGTGCGAAAGCGATGATCAATCAGGCGAGCAGTGGTGTCCTCGATGTGACACGGCGACTACGGTGATGACGATCGCGTCAACGCTACTGTCTGCTGGTATTGTCTCTACCGTCTTTTGGGCGCAGAGTAAACGCGCGCAGGTGCAACTGAGTGTTACTACGGTCTCTTGCCTTCTGCATGCCTTCTAACAACTGTTTGATTACATACACACAACTCAGCGTTGCTACCGTGTCTTGCCTTCTTCGCTTAACAACTGTTTGACTACATACACACAACTCAGTGTTGCTACTGTGTCTTGCTTTCTTCGCTTAACAACTGACTGACTACATGCACACGATGCAGTGTTGCTAAGTACTGTCTGTTGGCGTCTTCGTTTTGGGGGTAGACTAAGCACGAGCGCACAACACGGCCCGACACGAGGCTGGATATAGATAAGCACAATTCCTGCCACACGCGAGAGCTTGTCAGAAGGTTCTTTCTTCGATGCTGTCTGTCGTCTGCTTCACTAACAGGGTAGGTTCAGCCCGCACGCACGCAGGCACGCATGCGACACGATATGTTACCCAGTTGCTGCGCGTGAGCTTGAGACCAGAACGTAGAACCAAGACAATTTCAAAACGAGACTGTGCAACTTTCGAGCACACGCGCAGCCGAACTGAGATCTCCTGCGAGGTTCGCACAGTAGCCTACTGTTTACCGACGTTCTACTTTCACGTCGGCAGCTAACCGTACTACGCTCCACCCCCCTCCTTCACACCTCAATTCAACTTACACGAAGCGTCCCGCATGTGGTCGGTCCCCACGCGGAGTATATATAAGTAACTGCGGCGGGTGCGCAAAATAGCTGGTTGTGCGAGCTCTTGCCGAATAGATTCCTAACACAATGCCCTACTTCTATAATGCGGCAAAATAGAAATAACTTCTTGAGGAGCGAATTATCGCCGAGAATAGCGACGCGAGACACGCGTCGGTCGACAGTCGACAGTCGACGGCGATGACGACCTGGGCAAATCACGACCCCTCCGGCGATCACCGCGACGGAAGGAAACGACGCGGTAAAAGAGGTAGCACCCGCTGGGTTTATAAGCAGCTGAACGCGTCGCCAGCTCGTTCCCTCCTTTCTGCTCGTCTTCGAAACCGAGTTTCTTTTCGAACGCAATTACCGGTTCTCCAGCATACATGACTTACGGTTGCGACTTTTGACATTCTCGCGTAGAGCTGTGGGGGGAGGGGAGACCGCGTGGACCCACAATCTCCCTCTCACGTCGATAGAGAGAAAGAGAGAGAGAGAGAGAAAGAGAGAAAGAAAACACTCGCTATCAAACTCTTCTCACTCCCTCGTCAAATTCCCTACCCCGTATTCGCCACTTCTACCAGATCGCCACACCGAGGGAGAGGGACACGCGGCAATGAAAGATGATGACACGATGGCAATTGCAACGCATCAACGAGGAGCAACCCCCTCCCCCAACACCACTCCACCCCCTTACCCCCCTCGCACGTATAAAGATCGCGTATCAAGGGCCGCGGCCGCTGTATTCCGCCCCCTCTCAAACTACGGCGCGTTTTCACGCTATACTACGATCTGCGCACGCTTTGTAGGCGCGCGGAAAATACGCGAGAAGACTCGATAGAACTATGACTGACCCCATTTACGAGACCCCTTGTGTTTGACTGTTTGACAGCAGTGCGTGCGAGAGCTAAAGCAATAACAGAAGGCACCGACAGGGCGTGGCGCCCGCCCCCTCCCCGCTTCCCCCCCACAGTCAAACGCAATATATAGGGTA